AGAGTTGGAGGCCTCGTCTGCCAGCGGGCAAGGGAACGTTACTTCGGTGATACAACTGAAGAAGTTCCTGAGCCACTACTTCGGGACCAGCGTCGAGTCTGAGGATGCTTTTTCTTCGTACCTCCTGTCTTCCTTTCTCGAAGATGGGGTGGGAATGTTCGAGATCATCATCACCGTCATTCGTGACAAGGAGCGTCGGTTGCTGCCTGGTTCCGCCCGCATAGCGGCGGTAAGGTCGCTTGAGATCGGATCCGACACTGATTACCGGGCATTTCGTGAACGATACCAATACATGCTCTACGAGAGCCCTGTTTGTCTTCCTATCACCTCCAAGGTGGTTCCCAAGACACTCTACAAGGTGGTGCCTCTCCGAATGTATCGGCTCTACGTAGAACGTGGGGCGATCATTCGGGGTGGGCGAGCTCTGATCGAGCTCCTTCCCTCTCGGCCGGATGAATATCAATCCCTCCGCGATCACGGAGAATGCCCCAACGACACTGTCGACCGCATCACCGACAGCAATGTGACGGAGCTGCACACCTCGGGTCGACGCCAAAGGAGCGATCCCCGATATGTGGTCATGGCTATCGATGCACGTTTCTTCTCCATGGAAAATGGGGGCATGCATATTACTCGTCAGGGTACCTTTGCATCGCGCGAGAACATCGCGATCGGGTACTGGAGATGCGTCTACTTCAAGGAGGACTGCTCCATCATTTACCTGAGGCCTTGGTGCTATCCGCCCAACTTCCTCAACTCCGTGAGTGATAACCCGAGGAAGTGTCGGGACGAGATGGAGAAGTATCATCAGATCACCAAGACGGAACATGTCCGCGAGGTGGTGTCCGTTCCATGCCATAGGTGCATGACGGCCCACCCGGTCGGCGCTCACCTGTGCACCGCCTGCTACCTTCCCATCTTCTATGAGGGCGTCCTGCCCACCGGAGACACGAACGGCGGCCCTCGCACGATAGCGAGCACCGACGGGGTGATTCCTCCCTGGCTGGCAAAATACGAGGGCTTCGTCCCCGCTCTGTGGAACAACGCAGACGCCAACGCCATCGGAATGGCCCTCTACTCGCAGAGTCCCGCCGTCGATGCCCGGTCCTTGTTGATGTCTGGGATGCGGCCTCCTAAGTACCTTGACAAAGAGGACGTGGATGGCATTTTCCGAAAACTTCACGACTCGCTCCGAGACGAAGTCCTTGACGGCAAATACCGTGACACGGTCGACCACAACGTGGAAGAGTGGGTAGCAAAGGCGATCTTGGTAAGGGGTCTTGCCTTCAACGGGAGCTCCGTCCCCGAATTCTTCGAAGAATATGAGGGATATGCGGCTGAGTGGGGCAGACGCCTAACCACCGCAAACTTCAACGCCAACCGGTGCGGCTTTTACACGTCCTACTACATTCTTGAGGCCCATATCATTGGGCTGAGAACAGGACACCTTTCTCCGATACTCCCCAACGATGTGTCCGGGGAGGGGTTCAAGTTCCAGGTGGGGCTGCTCGCACAGCACTGCGGGATATTGCAGGCCATGCGGAGAAAGGCCGGGTTCGATCCTGCCGCGCGCCTCAAACGGGCTATGGACGCGATACGGGAAGGCATTAAGAAGGGGTACGTCTACACCCTCAACGACCTCAGCAGTATGGACGATCTGATCTACCGGACGTCCACCGTTGCCTACGACACCTGCTTGGCCGACCGTCCTCAAACCCAGGATGACATCAAACAGGAGCTGTCCGACCCTGTACCAAGGAAATACCGCTTCCGACCCCGCGATCGCCATCGACCCGGAATTCGCCTTACACCAGGCCCCGGCGTGAAGGACGAAGACGAGCCCGACTTTGCTGGATCAGCGGAGGATGAGCTGGGATCGGATGGTTCTTCGCACGAAGATGACGAGAAGCCTGACGACCTTGACGAGCCCATGGGCGACGACGAGGAGGAGATCCCTCCCCCTCCGCCACCGCCCCCGGCTCCTCCTGCGCCGCCTGTCCCGGTAGAACCGGAGACTCCCGTGGTGTCGCATGCAGGCGTCAGTTCTGGCGATGCTGTGCCAACTCCTCCTCCTCCTCCTCCCGCTCCCATTGCGGCAGGCGTTACAACGACTGGGGATCCGTTTGAGGAAGAGGACATGGCCATCAATACTCGTGTCCCTGACACCGAGTCCGAGCTGGAGGGTGAGTCCGACCAACCCAAGGCCAGGAGGACATCTCGTGGTCGGGTCCCCGCGCCCGAAAAAGGGCAGGGGGGCGTTCAGGTCCCGCCTAGCGGGCAACCCAGCTCTAAGAGCATGGCCCAGCCTGCCCGTCCATCCCCGGTCCCCGCGAGAAGCGGTGTGGAAGGTGGGGAGAGAAGGGGCAGGACCAAGGGTTTCTACACCCAGAAGGATCCTTTTACCGGCGAGGACGCGACTCCCCGAGTTCGTCTTCGATCGGGCGGTCCCGGAACTCCTGCGTCCCCACCACGGGATGCCACCGGTTCCTTGGGCGGCCATGGCGGCTATGACCCGCGCGATGACGACAACGACGAGTGGGAGCTTCCCCCGGGTGTGCCTCGGACCACTCGTGCGGCAAATGAGTCGCGGCCCCGCCGAGATGACGATCGGTCGAGGACCGCGCTTGGGGCCCGCGAGGATCGTCGCGGTCCTAAGGGTGAGGGGAAGGGTCGAGGAAAACATCGACCTGGCAAAGGTGGACGCGAGGATCCTGGCCCGCCCCGACAAAGGGATGATCGTGGCAGGGATACCCGCGGAGGCCGACGCGATGATCGCCGACCTCCTCCACGTCATGAGGAGACCTCCGAGAGGCGCGGTCCGGGGCGAGATGAGCGCCGCGGACGTGATGACCCGGGTGATGACCGTCGCGATCGCCACCGGGACCGGCGCAGGGATGACCGACGTCACCAATCAGATCCCCCTCCGCCTCGCCGACCTCCGGCTGGTGACCACAATAGGGGTGGTGGTGAGGATCGCCGTCGGGATGGAGGAGGTGATCGAGGTGACCGTGGTGGACGCCGGAGAGACGACGTGCCCAGGGACCGGGAAGAACCTGGTTCAGGGTGGTAGGCGGATACCGCAATCAGCACCCGCCTTAGAAGGGCGAGGATAGTACGTGTGTCGCCGAAAAACGCGACCGCGCCGGTCCTCCTCTCGCCCATGCGGCGCTGCTGGGGGTGATGGTCTCCATTGCCCTGTACCGCTGATCCGGCGTTGCTCGTGTCCCTCCCGCACCGCTGCCGTGCGCGCCGGAGACGGTTCCCCTGGCGATCCTGTGTGAGGCTGTGACCGCACTAGAAGTGCCGGGCCGGCCGTAGCCGGATATTTTCACACCAATTTCGGAACTTCCGCTTCTAATTTCCTCCCAACTCGACTACTCTTCCAACCACTCCACGGCGTGCAGTGAGGCGCGGCGATCCAGATAGGGTCCCCCTCCGCATGGTGTCGTCCCATGACAACGCATGAACGGCACGAGAGGAATCTTCGTCTGGTTCCTCCAATATGTCTTTGTTCACTCATGTGGTCCACTCGTCAAATAATCCTGTCGCCCCGATAATTCGGGGTGGTGGCGGGATTTTAACTGGGGCCCAGGTGATGCCGTTTGGCTCACCTCTGAGTTGACACCGGCATTTTTGGTTGGTCCCTTTCGTCGTGAACTCAACTGTCTCGCATCCTTTCTCTCGTCCAGATATCGGATGAGGGGAGTGTGTTTTGTTCACGTGTTGTTTCATCATGTGGCAAAACGGCCGAATGGCCGTTTGGCTCAAGTTTTTGGGAACTCCCGTCAAGTTCCCCTCGGACTCGCGTGCGAACGCCATATCCTGGCATCGCTCTTCGTCACCGCAAAAGGCTTTGTGGTGCCGCGGCGCTTTGGGGGTAGGAGGTGTTCGGTGGGCCGTCGAGGTGTTCTTGGGCCTGTCCCTCAAACTACTGTTTTGCAATCCCATTTCTAACCTCCCCAAACCTGATCTTCTTCAACTGTCACTCCCACAACCTGGTCATCAGCACCTTCTCCATTGTGCGTTGAGACTGGGTTCTTTTGGTACTTCGTGGATTACGTGTACCTCTTTGATTCCCTGGGCTACTTCGTGTTCGCCCAAAACCGCAGGATATAGCCACATATGGGCGTGTCTCCAAAGGGCCTCTCCAAATGGATTCCGGTGGTTCCTTTTGGTTTTCCTTTCCAAACAAAAGATACCCCATATGGACCCCATTGGCGTTTCTTGGGGCAACCAACGTGGGGGAAAAACCGGAAGCGATGTCCATGTCCCGCGGATCCGCCACGTGGCAAAGGCCATGCAATTCGCTTGTAAGCGAGTTCGCCAATTTGGCGACCTAGTTGGCCAACTCAGTTATGGCTTGGTTGAAAGCAGGCCGAAAGAACCGGTACAGCCATGTCGGAGGTCAATCCAAAGCCGGATTGAGGAGTGGCTTTCCTTTTGAATTCATTTATAATGGAAATAGACCTGCAAAGGGACCATGGGCAAGACAAGGACAAGCCCCTGGTCAACCATATGAGTCGGCAAGAACCATATGAGCCGGCAAATTTTTGGTGACAGGGCCCCGTTTTTGCTATTCGAGGTCTATGGCTGTTGGAATGCACCGGATGTGTGGGTGTCCTTCGTTTGGGGTGTGTCTTTAGAGTACGCGGTACCCTGATTCGGGTTGAAAGGGAAAGCGAAAGGCAACCACTGCTTTCGGGCTCCGCACTCCCGTTTGTAGGACCCTAGCCAAATTTCTTCATCAACGCGCCCCCCTCCTGTGGTGTTGGTCCAATTTGTTGTGAGCCAGTTTGAGTGTCAGGAAGCCCCACAAATTATCAGATTGCTGGTGTCCTTTTTCGGTGTCCCTTTCAGCCCAACACAAAGTTCCAACCAAAACGGAGCGGACCACACCAGATGTGGGCCTCAAAAACCGGAACCCCCAAACTTTCAAGTAACCGGAAAAAAAAGCGCCCCAAACAAGACACGCCCATTTGTGAGCCAATTCGACCCACAGTATGTTCCTGAGCACCGCATCCCACGAGGAGTACTACTCCTTCGGGGAGTCCACTTGGGACTTGGTGCTGTTCATCGGCACCGGGGCTCTGGGGCCCATGGGATCGCTGCAGACCTTCATCCTGGCCATCGTCAATGTGCTGATGCCACTCGGATCGGAGGTATCTCACCGCTGTCTTACCCCCGAAAAACAAAGTCCCCCCCCAAAAGCTGTTGTGGACTTTTTTGTTCTTTTCTTCTTTTTTTTGCGGGGGGGGAGCTTAACGTGTTGTTTTTTCTCCGGATTAAAGCTAAAGGCGGAGCTTTTGTTCGGGAAAGCTTGGAGCAAACCGGACTGGTCAACATTTATGGGTCTCCAAACATAGTTTAGGGTAGACGAAATGTAAAGAACTTGAAATATGATGCTCTACCCCAAATGGCCAATGTGTGCGCATCCTGAATATACAAATGAGCAATGGTCATAGAAACCTTGTTCAGGGAGTTCGAGCTATGGGAGGAACATCCCAGTTTGGATCTTGGACCGGTTCTCGGGGCGGGGAAGCTATGAATGGATCCCCCCCAGGGAATGAATCTTTGGGTGAGTCACCAAAGACCCAACTGACCGGACCGGCTCCCTGAACTTTGACCATCTTTTGGACTCACGGGCTATCCACATTCAGCATCCCCGGAAAAGGTTGCACCCAACCCAACCGGCTCTCCGGAGAAAAAAAGATCTGCTCCGTCCAACCGGCTCACCCAAGCCGAATCCGAACTCCCGAATCCCACCCGGCGCATCCGACCCGCGCCTCCGACCCCCGCGTGACTTCTTGCGACGCCTCACTTCGAAGGCAAGGGATCTTCGTGGGCATCGCCTGGTTCAACTTCTTGGCGCCCGACATCAACGAGTCCACCGTCCAGGACGCCTTCCGCTGGCGCCGCTCCTCAGGACATCGGTGGCCAGATGTGGGGAACAGGGGGGGAGGAGGGAAAAAGGGAGGAAAAAATACTCGGCATCTGGCGCATCCTGAGAACGGCCTATATGTTTACCCCCCTTTTTCTATGTGTCAAAAGGGGTGTATGTGTCAAAGAAGCGTTTGGGACTGGCTTAGCCAGCGAAATGGGAGGGTCGCAGGGTTCGCCGATTGACAATCCATGGGCGCTGTTTGGATACGAAGCCATTTTGGGGCATCGGAAAGAATTGACCGCTTGAGAATCCGGCTTGGGCTGCAAGGATTCAATCTTTCTGATTCTGGTGAGCCCATCGAGCTTTGTGGCCATCATGAAAACTTTGAATCAAATGCTAGGTGAAAAGGGCAATTGGAAGCTGCTGATTGGACGTTGGGAACTTGCAGAAGTTGGGAAGAAATGCTTGAGCTCTGAAGCATGCAAATGCCGAAGTGTCAGGTTCAACAAAAGCAAATGGGCGAGATGTGTGGCGGGGCCTCTCTCATTGAGGGCCTTTCTGAGATTGCGGGGTCAAATTTGGACCGATATCGCCAGTTCCCTGCATTTCATGCTTTAGACGAGTTTCATGTTCGACCCATGTGACATATTTTGGGAAACGATCCACACATATGAACCCAAAGCTCTGCTACGTGGGTGTGTTGCATACTGTTGGTTCCAAAATAGCAAATGGATGGCTGTTGCGCAGGCCAGAAAGGACCGTTAGAAACATCCAATCAATGTCGTCCCAATGGTGCCCTTTGCCTTTGGTGCTTTTGTGCCAATTACCATCGTTGCAGCCATGATCCAACCCGACACGGCCCTGGAATGAGTCTGGAACCAAGCTGAACGTTCAGATGGTGAGCGGTTTGTTCTAAACATTCAAACACCTGTCTTGAAACATGTTGTTTTTCTCCTGTTGTCTTTTCACTTACGGCTTGCCCCACAGGTTGAAACCGCCAAGCCCGGGATTTGAACTGAAACGTAGCCCCGCAAACCAATTGTGTCCTTGCGTGTGCGTGACTTTTGTGGGGGAAGTCAAGCATTTAGTGGCAGGCGTTGTATGTTTTGGGCAGCTAAACGCCAAGAAGTCGACATGGATGCAGCTTCAGGACACTCGCTGAGCTACTACGACGAGGTGTCAATGGTCCCTTGGCCTCTCGTGTTTTCCACGTGCCATGGAATGCGCGGTTCGGAGGATCATGGTTCTAGACGGTTCTGCCCGATCAAAGCAACGTAGATGGCACATATACTCAGGGCAAACAGTATCCAAGAAAGAGTGTGAAGAGAGATGTGACCGCCTTTCTGGACACAGGGAAACCAAAAGGGTCCATGGAAAAGCCGTGTTCAATGGCATTTCTCCTTTTGTTTTGGTCCCCTTTCCAAGGGAAACCTAAAATTGACACGGGGAGGTAACCGGCTAAAACGCAGCGAGTCCCCCGTGTGCTTCGCGTGGATCTTCGCGAGCCCGAGGAGTCTTTGGCCAAGCGGGTCTGCGACGAGGACAAGTCTCTGCACATCTCGGGGATCCAAGTCCAGCTGATTGAGGACATCCGCCAAAGCCCCGGTTTCTTTCTCGCTTTGGGTGGGGATTTTTGGATGTTTCCAACGAACCAATACTGAGACGAAGCTACGAAGTGTCAAACCCGACGAGCTGTTGCTAGGCGAGTTCCCCAAGTCAGATTGAGCAATATGTCTCACTTTCCCTGGACGTTCACTTGGGTGATGGCAAGCAAAACGTTTAGACTTGTTTTGATCCACGAAGTGAGGGCAAAAAATCGGGCAGTCGCAGTCTGGATTGGTCGTGAGGGAAGATGGGTGTCTGAAAGTTGGAATTTCACTCGAAAGATTGGGTCTTGTTTGGATTTGCCTAACCAAAACGTGATGCAATCGGCTTCGAGTTTGGATCGAACGACCCGATCCGGATCTGACATGGGGACGTCGCCAGTTTCGCGGCTTGAGGCAAGTACCTGAAGCCCGATGCCGAAGGCATGGGCGTCTTTTTTACCGGTCAGGTCTTGTGCAACTCGGCGTGACGGGTCGCAGAGCAGTTGGCTTGATTTAAAAGCAACAGCAAATGGAGAGAGAGAGGGAAGAAAAAAATGAGAAGAAGCTGAGGCATGGTGGCGCTGATTTGCTGGTACTTGAGACTTGGGCAAAGTGACTCAAAACGCTAAGCGGTGCAGGGACCTACCCCTGAAAAGGTCCTACGCGCCTGGCTTAAAAAACGCGCGAAATACGAGATCTGGATGTCTTTGGGGTGTGTGGATGTCGGTGTTTCGCAAAATCGGACCATGCCATGATCATTCTTATGATCCTCACTTGCCGTCAAATTAGGGGTCAGAGCCCGACGACCTTTTTGCCCTCAAAGACAAGACTGAAAACGACGCGGAGCCGAGAAGGCTATCAGACCAAGTCAACACATTGAAACAACTCTGTGCAATTCCTTACAGGGCCCATCCCTTTTTGATCTCCTTGGACAAAAGCGGGAACTCTCGACCTTTTTCACCCATTCAATGTGTTTCTCGGATCTCAAAGCCGGCCGGTTTCTGCATTCGTGAAAGGAGACATGGAACCGGGAAAAAAATCGGGAATCGGCGTTTTCCAGTTCAAAGCTTGGGGATGCGTCCGCTCCCCTGGGCTCACGTTTGTGACGTCCGGGGTTCCGAAGGAGTTTTCCCTCCAAAAGGCGCCAAAAGGGGTAACTCCCATGTTGAGAAACTCCCGTGGGAGGTGGTTGCGGAGTTCTTAGAATCAAAATGAACACGTGTGAAAAAAAGACACGTGTGTTTTACAAACCGATCACATTTGTACTTCCACATCCAAAGAAGCCCTGACCCTTGTGGTGAGGTGTGGATGTTGAGGTGTGTTCCCATGGTTTGTTTCCTTGAATGAAAAATGACCTCCCACCTTGTGGTGCCCCAAAACCCAAAATCAGGGAAATCCAGCCAGAACCAAGCCGGGTTGAACTTGTTGACCCCAAAAATGGGCATGTTTTTCTAGGTCCCCATTTTTGGATTTGAGAAACCACAAAAACAGAACCTCAATTTCGGAGGTTCCCTCAAGCCAAGATCCTTTTTGGTTAGCCCATTGGGGGTTTCCCTGTCGAGCCGGGCACCGATCGCTCTCAGGATGGTGGCCAAGGAAGTGAGCCACGCGCTGGCGCTGCACCGGGGCGTGCACGCGCTGCCCAATGGGAAGACCACCATCACCACCAGGGAGAACCCCTTCACCCAGGTGCGGAATGATATGTTCTTGTTTTTTTTTCTTGGACGGACGTGTATATCTTTGGGTGAGGATTTGTGTTATGTTTCTTTGCGGATGTTTCTTTTCTTTTTTGGGGGTGTCCGGAAGCAAAGTCGAGTGTGCGAACCCATATGAACCATCCCGGATCATTTCCGGACCCTTCACCCGGAAGCTCATGCTGGGCGTCGGAATGTCCCATGGAAATCCGTTGGCTTTCGGTCCGCGTCCGAGGATTTATCTTGCGTCAAGTTGAAAATGGCCATGAGTTGAACAAAAGGTGCCCCGGGTTTCTGGGTCTCCTTCCCGAGCAAAGCCTCTTTTGGGTCGCCCTTGGAACATTCACGTGATCAGTTTGGTGAATGAAAATGCTGGACTTTTTGGTTAGCCACCCTCGCTCGCGAGAAGCAAAACCAAGTCAGTCTTTGTTTTCTGGTTGCTTTTTGTTGGTGGTTGTTCCCCCTGGGCAAACAAATGGAAACCACCCATTTGGGGATTCCCCCATCAATCCAACATGACCTTGCCAAAAGGTTTCTCTGGAACAAACCTTCAAGAAAAACTGGCAGGGAAGGCAGAACTGCCCCTCCGCCCTAGAAAGCGATAGGCAAGAAAAGCCGGTGTCCTTTGTTTGTTGTTACAACAAGTTCGCAAGGATACCTTCAAAGAACGACCAGATGTCCCTGAAAAGCTTCCTTTGGGATCTCATTTGGGGGCTCGTTCACTTGAATGGTATGATGTTTCGTGTGCCTGTGTGTGTGTGTGCGGTGTCGGGTTGCTTGCGTCTGTTTGTGTGGGTTGTAAGTGGTTGTGTGTGTGTGTGTGTTGTTGTGCGCTATTGTGTCAGCGTATGCGTGAGTGTGCAGTCATTGTTTCAGCAATTGGCGTTGTGCTTGTGCGTTGGCTTGGTTTACCTTGTTTACTTGGGCGCTCTCTTGAATGTTGGATGTTTCTTTGTGTGTTTGTACATTATCTCGATACTGGCTTTGGAGTTGTTTGTTGCCCATGTCGAGAGCATCGAGAATGTTTGTGTCCACTTAATCTGCACCTCGCCCGGATGGGTTGAGCCATGAATTCAGTGTAACTCATGGCAGGTCACGTACTACAAGCGCGGCACTGAGATCGATGCCTCAAACCCGCCTTGCCACGTCACGTCCGGAGACCGAGGTTAGGAAGCGTCACAAGGCGCCGAAAAACGGCCAGTGCCCTCTTGCTGGTCTACAGCTGCTTGGCTTGATGTTCTGATGCAAGCAGGTGAATTTTTGGAGTTGGCTTGGAACCCTTTTCAGCTTGGCAGGTGAAAGAAAAGAGGAATTCTCGAAGCTCAGTTTGGGGGTGCGAATCCTTTAGACGAATCTGAGGATTGGTGGCTGCCGTCTTGCTGATCTATGTGGGGACCTTCTTCCTGGCCGCAGCCTTTCCATCTCTCCGGGGAGGGGGGAGACAAAGAAGTGATTCGAAAGCCACGAGACGAATGAGACCCAAAGTCGGAAAGTTGGGCAAAGCGCCGTGTCTTGAAGCTTAGAAGCTTCGACGGCTCAGGTTTACACGGTGAGCGTCACAGAACTGATCCTCAATGCCGTTGCACTGGGCATCATCCTGGACATCGACGCCGCTCACACCAAACTGGGGCGACAACGGGACTCGAAAAACAAGCAGAGAATCTGCTCATGTCCCACACGGAATGACGGAATCTCGTTTCGCATTTGTCGCATTTGTCGGAGCTGAGCGCCCAGGACTTGCTCTTCGATGCACTGGCCACCACCCCAGGCCGTCACCTGGTCAACCAGCTCGACCCGCTTCCCATGCGCTTGGGCTCAACAGAATTCGCTCCCAAAATGGGCCCCAACCTCAGGCCATATGTTTTGTCGCCATGTTTTTTGAACTGTTTCACGCCGTTTAGAAAACGTCTCTCCCCCTCCCCCTCCCTCCAACTCCAAGATCGAGACAATCCGAGGCCGGCCTTCCCCCGGTTCCGTGGCGCGGACGCCAAGTCCACCAGCATGAGCCTCCTGTCCCTCGGACTTCGAGTCTCTCGAATGAGCGCGTCCCTGGTAAAGCTGGTTGGGGATGTATCCCGTTGTATCCCTTTGTGCCATTTGAGGTACTTTGGTTTGTTTGTGAATGGCTCGCATCTGCGAAGGCATTGGGAGTTCTCAGTTGCCAAGGATCCCGGGCGGCATCGCGCTGGTCTACTTCATGATGCTTGCTCCCTTTGTCTCAGTGTTGAATGATGTCTCCACTAAGATGTGCGGCGGAAACCAGCAGTTCGTTTGGAGCACAGACAAGCGACGCTCGGATGCGTTGGGTGCGAAAAAGCAGCGGAGGAAAGTGCAGGAACCCCTCACACCCGCATCCCAGCTGCCAATTGAGGCCGTGTGGTGAATCTGTCTCCAACCTCCGGGGGAGGCTGGGACAACATGACCCAGACCATCCAGATGCCTGGCGACGTTCACGTTGGCTGAAGTTGGCAGTTCGAGTCGCATGCGTCGCATGCGTCACGAGCTCGATTTCCCGAGGACCCTCGCCATTGATGAAGCTCAGACGATACCCGATGTCGCGAATCCGAGAAACGCGATGTATGGCGTGTGGGTGCGGGAGGTGACGCTTGTCAAACAGAGCAGTTTGTTATGAGATTTGCTAAAGGCGAAGCTCACAAGTAGGGTTGCTCTCCCTGCGCAGTAGAACAGAACCCGGTTGGCAAGATGGCTGTCTGCAAAATGTGTGCATTCTTGGCGGTTTCCTCCAGTTCACCCCTCTTTCGCGCTGTGTTTTTAATACCCATCCAACAAACCTGACTGGACGCCATTTTCCGGCCCAAAACAAGTTGGGGTCTCGCCAAGGAGCCTCCTCCAGGATATGGAGTCCCTGACTTTGGAAGAGCTGATCCAGAAGGGCAATCCTCAATGCGGGGACATGGCGAATGAGGCGCATTCAAGTTGGACAGTCTGTGACCCCAAACGCAAATCCCGTCTTCCTAGGTGTTCCGCCAAAATTGTAGAGTGGCTTGAGCGGGAGTTTGCCTTTGAGTTGAAGGAAATCCCGTTTGGCGGGAATTCTTCTGTTTTCATTTGGGGTTGGGTTTGTCTCTTAGGAGCCCATGCTGAACTACCTCCGAGAGGGCTTGGGCAACTGGAGCGTCGACAGCTGTGCGGACGCAGAGATGTATTGCCGCTCGATCCGGAAATTTGTTGCAGCTGTCAGCTCCACTTTGCAGTTGGTCCACTTGCGTAGTTTGCCGAGATGAGATCCATCCTTTGTTTGTCACGACCTATGGAGCCTCGGTTGACAAATTGTCTCTCATCAGACCCTCACCAGGTAACCTTCCCGTTGAATCAGGCAATTGGAGAATTGTTGTTTTTTGGAGCTTTTCCATTAGTTCACAAAGTGGCGATTGACTTTCCACCTGTTGAAGTGGGTAGTCCCAATCCTGCCTTTGGATGTTGATGGAGTCAGGGAAAAGTGGAGAATTCCCATCTCAAACGATTTCGATAGAAAGACTACATGTTTCTTTCGGGTTCCACTTTTCGGAGACTTAAAAACCCACTCGGTTGAACCGGTTAACCGATCGAATCAATCCGAAATGTCGGGGAGAGATTTCTCTCTGAGGCAACTCTCTCACAGAGGAGCCCTGGAGCCTGGATGCCGGCAGAGGCTACACCACGCGGATGTTTTGCCCCGCACCTTCGATCCGACTCGTCTTCTTACGAAAATCCCACCCAGCCAATGGGGCCAAGAATCAGTGTATCAAAAGACCGAATGGCTGGTCCCCTTTTGTATCCTTCGTTTTTCCCGGGCCCCCAGGTTCTCTTGACTGAAAGCCTCACCCCTTTCGAAGCAAACCCGAGGGCACTTGCGGCTGCAACGTGCCCGGCGGAAACTACGTCTTGACTCAGGCGGGACGAAGAGCACGGGTGGGTTTTGTGTGCTTCCCTTTCCAATTAGAAACCATTCCCTTTTCAGTTGTGGGACCCCCTCTAGATCCTTCACTGAACTGGGTGTCGAATTTCTGCATCCAACCAAAACCTGCAGGGCTGCGCCTACGCGTCGGGGGATCCATGCCTACTCTCCAACACTTACCAGGACCTGCGCCGAGGCAACTTCGCTCGTTTGAAACCAACTTTTCGGGTTTTTCCCGTGGGCTCAACGGAAGGATATAGGACGCCAGCCGGGTGAGCGCTCAAAATCGAAGAATGGATTCGCGTGGGACGAATTGTCTCTCCAATTGGTGGAGGAAGAAAAAAAAGAAGCAAACAAGAAAATGGGTGGTAAACCTGCGGGACCAAAAACTGCGCGAGGAGCAGCGGACCAGCGCCACCTGCGTGGAGCCGGATGCGGCTGAGTTGCGTTCGACCACGTCCTGGGCCAGCTGGGTCCAAACCATCCAGGCGAACACGGAAGCGGCGATGGAGAAACGGCAAACCGCTTCCTTTGAGGATTCCCCCGTTTTCCCGTGCTGGGGCTAGACCAAAAAGAGTTCCCGTGGCCATGTTAGGGTTCCCCTTTGAGACATGTGGCTCTTTTTTGTTGCCCTTTCTTGGGCTGGGAAAGCAACCCCAATTTGCCGGGTTTCGCTTTCAGAAACGGGAAAGCGACCCAATGTGATTTTCCCAACTCGTCCTTCAACACAAACCTGAAAAGAGTACCCTCCAAAAAAGCACGCACAATAGAATTGTTGAGGTTCCCAAAGAAAGCGGCAAGGGGATGGGTATGTGACATGTTTATTTTTCCAGAGCCAAACAAGGTAACCCAAAACAACACGCCAAAGGTCTTTTTTGCCCCTTGGAGTTTCCTCAACCGCGTATCCTTTCTACCGGCCAGTGAAAAAATATGCTACCCTTCCCCTCGTCCATTTTTTTGCCCAAGAAGAAAAGCCCCGCTGATTGGAGGCCTATGGAGAAGGCGAAAACTCGCGTGTTACTTGGCGTTTCGTGAGGCCTACGGGAACTCTGCGGGGAACTTCCACGGCAAGGCCGAGGCGCTGAAGTTGGCCGAGGCGCCCGATCCGTCGATCCGTCGATCCGGATCCGACCCGGGTTGAGCCGGAAATCCGGAAATCCGGCGCCGAGGAAAAGGGAGGGGGGTTCAAGGGGCCAGTCTTTTGGGTTTTGGGAGGAGTTGAAAAGCTTGAGGGGAGGTTATGAGAAACACATCAAGCCATTGGCGACGAGGAAGTGTTCCATGGTGGATGTAGATCCCCATGACCAACAGGTCCTGCATGTACCGCCCGGAACATGAAAGGAGGTGGAAGCGCTTGTTTTGGGGGCGCTCAAATAGCTCATGGCTGCTTTCCCATTTGCCATTTGTGCGAATGGCACGAGACAGCATACCAAATCCATGCAAAGAAAGGCTTAAGAACGTGGTTGTTTCTCAAACAGGGACAGGCATCGCGCCTTCAGGCGATGTGGGATCATGGCTGTGGCTTTGGGCAGAATCTCACGGACGAGCCACTCAGCACTGAATTGCCCAAAGGTCTTGAGCTTTTTCCCGACATCACTGTGGTGTGGGGTTCTTACTTTTGCTCGCGTCTGCGCCGCCGCCTCCCGCCCGCCCGCTCACTCGCTCGCTCACTCACTCATGGCATTCGCCCACAGACGCAGACACTAGACCGGTTGGTGCAGAGTCGTCTTGCGGTCCGGGTAATTCTTGCGCGGGGTGTGTACTTTGAGCTCGCGGCGGCACAGTACTTTCATCTGCGCGGGCCCGGGCTGTTTTCGTGGCAGGGTCCGTACTTTGCGCTTGCGGAAGCCAGATTGTGTGGCTCTTTCTTGTGGCGGGCACGGTATTTTCGGCTTGCTGATGCTGGATTTTGTGGGAGGAGGGGGCTGGCAAATTCACTCACTCATTCACAAACACGTTAGTTCACTTACCCACGCACCCACTCTCCCTTTCGTGCTCCATCACCTCAGCTGGTCCTTTGTCTAAACATCTTTTGACACCTCTTCCATCCCAACGTGGATCGACATAGTCAACTTCACCACTAAAGCTTGGCATGTGGAGTTGCCCGGTCCTTGAATGTTTTTGCCATGTTGGTCCAATGGGCCTTTTTTGGCAAGATAGAAAGGTCAATCTTTTTGCAGGCTTCTTGAGCAGGTGAGAATCAACCCGCAAAAGCCTGTCTCCCATCCAATGCTACTGAACATGGCGCGACCAGCAGTACAACCTCAGAATCACACCAAGTTAGATGTCAGTGACTTGCCACTACAAAGGGATTGCTTCGTTGAAACGTCGAGCAAAACCACCATCCGCCCACAACGGTGGACATAGAACCATGCAATCAAGACCATGGACACAAACCTTCGCGAAGTCGACGGGAAGCCTGTAGGTTTTGGTCGGCGTACCCATTGACTGGGGCAAGCGCCATGCGTCCGCGCCACGCTTTCGGGCGTCAGCTTTGGTCCTTGAGGCGCGTGAGCTCGTCGCCACAAAGCAAACAACAAAGTGCTTACCGCGTTACGACTTACGTTCACGCCATGTCATTGACACTACGTGTCACTTGGTTACAAGGGAGGACGCAGTTGCGTCCCTGACTCAGCGTGAGCAAAGATAGCGTGAATGGGCTTAAGTTAGCACCAATCCCCTGCCCACCCCCTACTGCAACCCACACATGAAACGCGCGTGTGCCCCGGAAACACCATTTGGCCTCTTTGGGGTGGGGCTAAGTAGAAATTCAGGGGAACCGTCGCAAAGCTCTGAGGAACGTGACGTGGGGCGACTGCTACTCCTGGAGCGCGGCATTGTCCTGGCCCTTCAAAACCTTGGAATTCTTCTGCCCCGTGACATGCGACTGCAGGAGCCAGTACAGCGCCTTGCCCGATTCGATGAATTTTGACTCGTGTCGACATCGAAGTTATGAATAACCTGAGGCAACTCCGCATGTCCAACACCCGGAGGCAAGAACTGCAATGAGCTGCAAAGCTGCCTCTTCCACAACGATGCTCGGGAACCCAGTACAGACCCACGCAAGTTCTGCCGTTAGACTCAAAGGGATGTGTGTTTTGTGATGATAACTTCTTGGGGGTTCTAAAGAGACACACGGAAAGACCCAGCCCCCTATTTGACACACACACACATCTTGCCTTATGAACAAAGGCCCAGTGCCCCTTTCAGGTCTACTACTGCAAGGACAACACGCCAGTTTCCACGTCATGAGCCTTGGATGAGCGATTGCAACCAGTGCTTCAAAGGTATGGCGTGAAACACGCATACAAGTCTCATTCTCTTGAAACGAAGTTCTCTTTGTATGGAAAATGACTCTTCTTTTTAAGGAATCTCCCCAGTTGAAGACAGACGCATTGTGAACCGCATCAAATCCATATCGCTGCGAACACGAACAGAGGTGTTTGACCTCACCGTCCAATTAGGGCAATGTCATCTCGCTTGCCTCGTGTGCTTCCACTGCTCACATGGCTGCGCCCAGTTGTCGTGCTGGAAATCGACAATCCACAGATGACGCTCCAATATACCGATGAGATGTCCACGAGCATCCAACAGCTCGTCGCCTCCTACGCAGGGACTCTGTGCACAACGTTAACGGGTCACCGAAGTCGCATGGGTGTGTGTGTGAGTGTGAGTGTGAGTGTGAGTGTGTGTGTGGTGTGTGTGTGTGTGTGCGTGTGTGTGTGTGTGTGTGTCTGTGAGTGTTTGTGTGTGTGTCTCTGTGTGTCTGTGTGTCTGTGTGTCTGCGTGTCTGCGTGTGGTCTGCGTGTGGTCTGCGTGTGGTCTGCGTGTGGTGTGCGTGTGGTGTGCGTGTGGTGTGCTTCTGTGCTTCTGTGCTTCTGGGCTTCTGTGCTTCTGTGCTTGCGTGTCTGTGCTTGAGTGTCTGTGCTTGTGTGTCTGTGCTTGTGTGTCTGTGCTTGTGTGTAGACCTGTGCTTGTGTGTCTGTGCGTGTGTGTGTGTGTGTGTGCGTGCGTGTGTGTGTGTGTGTGTGTGTGTGTGTGTGTGTGTGTGTGTGTGTGTGTGAGTGTGTGTGTGCGTACGTGTGTGCGTGTGTGCGTGTGTGCGTGTGTGCGTGTGTGCGTGTGTGCGTGTGTGCGTGTGTGCGTGTGTGCGTGTGCGTGCGTGCGTGCATGCACGTGCGTGCGTGCGTGCGTGCGTGCGTGTGTGTGTGTGTTGTGTGTGTGTGTGCGTGTGTGCGTGTGTGCGTGTGTGCGTGTGCGTGCGTGCGTGCACGTGCGTGCGTGCGTGCGTGCACGTGCGTGCGTGCGTGCGTGCGTGCGTGCGTGCGTGCGTGCGTGTGTGTGTGTGTGTTGTGTGTGTGTGTGTTTCTGTGTGTGTGTGTGTGTGTGTGTTTGTGTGTGTGTTTGTGTGTGTGTGTTTGTGTGTGTGTGTTTGGGTGTGTTTGTGTGTGTGTGTGTTTGTGTGTGTGTTGTGTTTGTGTGTGTTTGTGTTTGTGTGTTTGTGTGTTTGTGTGTGTGTGTGTTTGTGTGTGTGTGTGTGTTTGTGTGTGTGTGTTTGTGTGTGTGTGTGTGTGTTTGTGTGTGTGTTTGTGTGTGTGTGTGTGTTTGGTTTGTGTGTGTGCCAGAGTGCGTGCGTGCGTGCGTGCGTGCGTGCGTGCGTGCGTGCGTGCGTGCGTGCGTGCGTGCGTGCGTGCGTGCGTGCGTGCGTGCGTGCGTGCGTGCGTGCGTGTGTGCGTGTGTGCGTGTGTGCGTGTGTGCGTGTGTGCGTGTGTGTGTGTGCCGAGTTCCAGATTCACCCTGGAACCAATCGTCTGTTGACCCCGTGGTTTCTCTTGCTGCGCGTGCTTCATGTTGGAACTGGTAACGTTTTCGACTCTAGAGGGAAGCCATCGGTCTCGCCACTCGAAAATCACCCACTCGAAGTAACCCAGCCGACAAGTTGTACTCGAAGATAAGCAACCTCCTTCGTTCAAGTGTGATTACCCCGTTTCGGGGGACCCTCGGATGCTCCCATTGCGTAGCTCCGGGACGGCATTGCCGTTTAATTTGACATTGGCGTCGATCACTAGACCAGCGGAATTTCACTTTTAAGCAGAGACGAGGTCTCACTAAAGGGAAGACAGCGTAAGCCATTTCACCCACTAATGACTTCAACTACGCTGCCCGGGGCGGCTCGGCATTTGCATGCTTGTGCCATAGAGTGTTTTGCGTCTCAAGCGTTGGGTTTTGCAATCCTTGTCTTGCGCTTGATCATGCCTCGCCGTGATGATCGTGAACGATCTCGAACTCGGCACCGGCGTGGGCGATCCGAATCACCACCTTGCAAAGCACGCAGACGTAATGATCGTGATGATGATCTACGCCAAGCAGATTCTCAAGATTGGCTTCACTCACCGATGTGGCAGGGTTCCAACGGCGCCGCCTCGGTGCCCGCATCGCACAACCACTCGATGAACTACTTGCATCATGCCCCAGCACTCCTTGCCTTGCACCCTACCATCCCACGCCTGGACTTCCTATGCCGCTTGACCCATGTCATCGTGCTCCTCGTGAGCTTCCTGCACACCAACCTATGCCAACGCAGACTACATTCGCGAGCCCTCCCCCACCCAGTTCCTCAGCTACGCAGAGCACGCAACGCGTCACTTCAGGCTCTAGAGCAGCAGGCCAACCCCCTTGGCTCACGCCCCCTACGGAGTGGACTTCCGGAGATGGCCTTCTGGATCGCAATCAGCTCTACTCACTCTACCAGTTTCAGTTGCCAACACTCCTCACACTCGTGAACGTGGAATGGCAGAGCTCGACATTCGTGATGTACGATTAGTCCAAGCAATACATGGTGGTCTTTCAAACTGGTTGCTACGTCCTTTTGCTCACGGCCGCTTCGTCACTTGGGAAGGATTTCGCACCAGGACTGAAGCCCTCTTGTGGAGCACCTGCTCCAAAACCCTGCGCCGATCTCAGCAGCTTAACCTTCTTACCCTCGAGAAGGACACTGCCAGCTCGCTGGGACTCAACTTGGAGGACTTTAATCAGCGCATCAAGATTCACGAGCATTTGGCCAACAACATCCTCGAGCACCTTGCACAGCAGCACCAGGCCATTTCATCCCGACTACCTAACGCCGATGTTGTCGCGAATCGTCATTCGCTCCAACGCCAAAATGAGCTTCTCAAAGCTGAGCTGGCTGCGACACGCAAAGCCCACGATGCCTCCGCTACTACTACGCCACCCGCCGTGTCCGCGGTGAACACGCCTTCTCCGCCCAGGCCTTCAGAGTCAGGTGCAATTCTACCCGTGGCCAGCGCTGCTGCCGTTGATGGGAAGTCTTTTGACAAGAACCTCGTCAAAAGCCCAATGCTCAATTCACTACATGGTCGCTCCCCTCGTCAGCCTCATGACAAGAAGCAGGATGATCCGATGCTTGCAGCTGCTGATTCCGCACGTCATGCCCTACCTCCGCCTTCGGATCAAAGCTTCTGGAATACTACACGTGGAAAAACCCGATGCCACGCCTGTTTGTCAAGCAAGCTCCCACTACGTCTACGCCAGCTTCTTTGCTTAAGTGGGCTAACCATCCCACGCGTCTTAACGCCAGTCGTGACCTTGAACCTCGTGCTGTTCTGCTTCAACAAGCACGCCAACGGGTCCCCAATGGAGACGCGGCATCTTTCCCATCCATGGCGGCCATGTGGGGCTTGGAACCTGGTTACGTCACCAAGCTTGCCGACAAAGCGTTGCGCATTCTGATTGTCACAGCCCGCTCTCTTGCCTGATTGAAAGTTTGCGTCCTATTAGCCCGGAGTGTTTTGGCCATCACAGTTGCACAGGCAAAACATTGCTTGCTTTGCTGCAGTGCGTTTTGCCGGTTGTGCACTGTCATGCTCATAGCTTGCGTGTTGCATTGCGCTGATATCATTGACATGGGAGTGTGATGTGTTGTGTAATACCTTCGCAGCTTTCATCATGTGGTCGGAGTTTAGATCGGGTGGGATTCTCGATGATCTGGTTCTCTGGCAGTCGCTTTCCACTTTCCTCAGCTCACTGGCACTCATATCTGCTTGCTGGAATTTTGTCTTTCGTGAACTACCCAGACCTGCGGCACCTGCTCATGAAGTCTTATCGATCTTGAAGTTGGCTCATGTGGATATGATCATTGAAGCCCTCACACTGGTTAGGGTCTCATTGCAGATCCCTGCCAACGCGTTTGCGCGCACTTCCAACCCAACGGCCAATCGGTATCAACTTCATCGCTGTCAACTATCAGCCTTTTTGCTTCTTTGTTTCCTTCAGCGACTCGTCCTACAAGACAATGGCTACATACCAGCGTTTTTTGAAGTATTACACTTCTACAAGGCCGCGCTGTTCCGTGACATTTTGTTTTCCGCATTTACTGAACTTCGCCACTTGCGTTCCCTACGCGCTTGACTACCTGATCTCAATGCTTTTCTTCAGGATGATGCTCATTTTCAACAACCTTGCGTATACCTTCGAATTTCGCCATGGTTCCTGCTATATTACATCGGTGCAACTGATCATGATGTTATGCATCGAGAGCACTCCAGGTGTCGCAAGTTTCTCCAACTTCAACGCGATCAACATGCCTTTGTTGAACCTGCCCTTGACTATTGGCGACGTGCACAGAACTACTGGTTCTACTGCGCCGTGCCCGTTGAAGTACAAGAGCCCGCGCATTCTGTTTGGACGCAGGAGAGCAAGTGGCAATATATTCTTCGACCACAACTTAATGCTCCATGGGTACACCGCATTCTTCCCAAGCTGGGATATCGTGACCACCTTGTTGACTTCCGTCGCCATTCCATGTCAACGCCAGCTTCGCATGCTCTACACAAGAAATTTCGCCGACGTTTACACTCTCATCTACATCGTCAACTACGACCTCAAGCTCTTGATGATGTTCAGGCACACTACAATTTGCTTTACAAATTGGGTTCAGACACAGGAGCATCTTTTGACACCATGCGTGAACTACTCTCCGCTGCCTTTCCACCCACACAGCTATACTATCTTCTTCGGCTGGTTGAGTTCGTCAATGAGCCATTCCGCTCCAAAGCCAAACGCCACATCGCCGTGATCCTCACAAAGCGCCGCCTCGCCATTCCACCTTCATCTGCCAACTTCTTACTTCCTCCTACACATGCTACGCACTGGAAGCAAAAACTGGGAATATGGCTCAAGCAGTGGATCGCGGACCACCAGCATATTGAGACCCGCAGCGCCACATTAGGT